CATTTTGTAACCTAACCTCTCCCCAAAACGTTCACTGAACCTCCTCCACCTTTCGCGGTTGATTTCATGCATTTTGGTGAAAATTCCTCGTCGACACGACGTCGAATTCTTTTAAACTTGGACATATCGGTAAAAACAACTTTTGATCATTCTGCTGTTGTCCAGTTGCGATGATTCAGTGGCTCTCTCCATTGATGGAATTAATTCACGAACACACATATATTTCGTGATCGTTCGGTGTAGAGAGTTTATACATTTTTAACAATAACTCTATTCAACAATAAATAACAATAATCTTTTTATCTAAGTACGAGCAGTTGTTTCGTTTATGCTTTTTTTTCGTCATGAGTGGGAACCTTTCTCCTGGCGCTTGCAGCGCCGCCTGGCGTTCTGTAAGCGAAGCTTTCGGTTTCGTTTGAAAATGAACGGCTTCTTTCGAACTATATTTAATCTTCTTTGCACTGTTCGAACACTAATTTCCCTGATAATTTCGATACTGCGATCTTGAATACAGTGATCCATCTTAATTATGTCAACAGTGATGGTAATTAAGGATCTGATGCAACTATGTAACGTAAAAATAAGCAAAAAATGAAAAACACGAATCTTAACACATTACCGACCGATAGCCTATTAATCGACTGTTTTACCGACCGACAGCCGATTAATCAACTGTTTTATCGGTCGGTAAAGTGTTAAGTAGTTGTCCTACCTAATCTGAGAAAATATTAAAAATATTTGCAGTTTACAAGTATTGCAAACAAAATTATTGCGATGTTATAACTATATTTCATATGAGTTTAGTATACGAAAAATAATTAGCACCGTTTATTTCTTCGACTAACCAGCCGCCATTGTAATTCGTATCATTTAAAAAATAATAAACTCCATGTACCTCGAGTTAATTTCGTCTGAAAAAAAATGATACAATAAAATATTGGCAAATATTAATAATGGAATAGAAACAGAAGGGGAAATCTTTTAAAATCGGACTTAAATAAATTAAACTAAACACACAGAAATTATAGATGGTTGATCCGCTGTAAATGTTAAATCGCGAGACAAACTGTATTTAAAAATATTTTATTCGAAAGATTCTCGAAGAAATTAGATGTTTTTCTTACTCATGAACACCGTCCTGATAATTTTACCATTTTTTGTATATTTCTCCAATATGTCGGCTTCGTCTGTATTTTGTAATTGGTTCCAGTCGTGCTGAACGTAATACAAAATCGTTCTCACCTGTCGTGGACAGAATTCGTGATAATCGCCAATGAAAACGCGAGGTGAAGGAAAAAATTAACAATTCGCCATCGCTTACTTTGTCCATGTGGATGTAGAATGTTAAATACTTGTCGAACAATGTATACCAGCTAATGATAAATATCAATGACTTCGAAACCTCTTGTAAATCGTTCTCGTTCGCGAACAACGCGGCTACCTGGAATACTCGTATTTCCTAGACAACCGTAACGCCGTTAAAAACAGAGATTTTTACCTGAAACAGTACAATTATCGCGGGGGAAACCAAGGAACAGAATCGTCGAATCTTTTCCGGCCATCTAGCCTCCATGTTCCAGAGTCCCAAGTATATCAGAAGCTTGTGGGTGAGCTTGTAGTAATGATAGCCAGCGAAGTCCATTCCCGATCGCAAGTTAAAGTACAACTGCGAGTAAACGATCGCTCCTCCGTTCCACCCTCGATGTACTCTAATAAAATATTCCCTCCCTTCGAATTTACCGTGGAAATTCGTAGCAAATTGCATAGAAATTATATCGCAAGTGGCGTATCGATCCGTAATGTAAGTTCAAAGAAAAGTGCCGCTACGGAGAAACAGTTGCATATTCTGTGACATTATATCGTTACATGTAGCTATTTTCTCGCTGTGAACCCTTCTTTTTCATAAATTTTTAACCGATCGCAAGTTGCAACTAGGGGAAAAGTGTCCCACAGTCTGGTTTTAAGACCTCACCTCGCGTTGGAGCTGAACTTACAATCAGTAAGTTGCAATCAACCCTTAAGAGTCAGTTATAAGTAAACCTCGCTCCCGACAGAGAGACTCTACCACGCATTGAAGTCACTCCAAGCGCCGCTAGTTCGATCGCAATACCTAAGTAACAAGAACTTAACAAGAACTTAAAAAGAACTCTTTAAAAAGGAAACTTCTGGTACTTCTAATCAAGAAACCTTCGTTCCACGATCCAAATATCAATGAAACTGGGAATGTGTCGACTCTGTTTTTTAATATTGATACAAATTGTAACAAGATGAACGAATGTAAAGGTACTATTAATTTATATTACTTTGAAATTTTACTACATTTTTAAAACATTGAATATTGGAGCAAAGTATAACATTCATTATTTAATGATAAATTGGATAAATTGTTTAAATGTATTGATACGAAAGAAGTTCCCTGGAAGTCGTCTATTTCAATAATGTGATCGAATGAAACTTTGACAGAAAATTTTTACATCTATCTTCTGCTATTTTGACTATTTCGATCTATACTATCTACAACGCTGAGTTGGATCCAGCAAGAAGAAAATCCTTGTGTAGAAATCCAGTTCCGCTTTAACACTAGATTGCCCAAGGAAGTAATTTTGACTGCTTTTTAATTTCAATTAGAAAAACAATTATGTATATAATGACACAATTTCTTAGAATTTTGTGACTTTTTGCACACCATATAAATGCGTTTATTAATAATTGTAGTTACCTCCTCCCTCCTTCATTTCCGGTATATGTGTTATACCTATATTGGTCAAAATATGGTCATATTGACTGCTTGGGAAATTTTAAATAATCAAATGACTCTTATTATTGAATTGAGTAAATTTCTTATATGACCAGTTCCGACTCTGTATTGAAATAACAGTTTTCATTTTTTTTCGATTACCAACACATGATAACATACAAGTACATGATAAATTGACGATTTGGGCGTACCTAATCCAGACCTAACCCAGATCTAACCTAGACATAACCCAGACCTAACCCAGACCCAAGATCTGGGTTAGGTCTGGATTAGATCTGAGTTAGGTCTGGATTAGATCTGAGTTAGATCTGGGTTAGATCTGAGTTAGATCTGGGTTAGGTCTGGATTAGATCTGAGTTAGATCTGGGTTAGGTCTGGATTAGATCTGAGTTAAATCTGAGTTAGGTCTGGATTAGATCTGAGTTAGGTCTGGGTTAGGTCTGAATTAGATCTGAGTTAAATCTGGGTTAGGTCTGGATTAGATCTGGGTTAGGTCTGGGTTAGGTCTGGATTAGATCTGAGTTAGGTCTGGGTTAGGTCTGGATTAGATCTGAGTTAGGTCTGGGTTAGGTCTGGATTAGATCTGAGTTAGATCTGGGTTAGGTCTGGTTTAGATCTGAGTTAGATCTGGGTTAGGTCTGGGTTAGGTCTGGGTTAGGTCTGGGTTAGGTCTGGATTTTGAATGTACAATACATACCAATCCAGACCTAACCCAGACCTAACCCAGATCTAACCCAGACCTAACCCAGAGCTAACTTAGATCTAATCCAGACCTAACCCAGAGCTAACTTAGATCTAATCCAGACCTAACCCAGACCTAACCCAGACCTAACCCAGACGTAAACCAGACCTAACCCAGACGTAAACCAGACCTAACCCAGACGTAAACCAGACCTAACCCAGACCTAACCCAGATCTAATCCAGACCTAACCCAGATCTAACTCGGATCTAATCCAGACCTAACCCAGATCTAATCCAGATCTAATTCAGACCTAACCCAGATCTAATCCAGATCTAATCCAGACCTAACCCAGATCTAACTCAGGTCTAACCCAGACCTAACTCAGATCTAACTCAGATCTAATCCAGACCTAACCCAGACCTAATCCAGACCTATTGAAAAATTACAGTTTCTCAATAAGCTAAAGTAATACTTGTTATTCGAATCTTTATGCAGTGATACTTGTTCTAACAAGTTGTTTATTTTACTTCTGCGCCCTAAATTCATAATATTATAACATAATATTAAAAATTAATTTTAAACAAATTTCTTTACACATTAGTTAGTCTTTCACAATGAAGTCATTTTGACTGCTTTTGGCCAATATAGGTATATACTAAGTTTTAGTATTTCTAGTGTTAAGAAACGGTTCTTTACCTTATTTACTAATATTTTACTATTTGTTCCGCTATTATTGGATCCCGTAAAGTTTGTATCAAGTCTCGATGGATGATATTACCATAAAATAAGACGCTGTGTTTCTTACTAGCTGAAATGTAAATTACAATTACACGCATTCCTCGTGGGCAACGTTATTATTAATAAATAAAGCGATGTACCGTTGAAAATCCTTCGATCGATGCGTAATAGAAGTTATAAAATGTGAAACGGAAAGGTTCGTTGCACCTTGTCATGATGATTAGCAACAATTTCTGTGTAATTATAGACATATTGTACCACTTGGTGTGGTATCTGAAAATATCGAGAAAATCGAAACTCTAGATTGCCTCGTATGATTTTTATTTAGCGTTTTCAAAAAATACAGCAGTTTTTTCACGCTTACATCACCGTGACGAAGTTGTTCGCGCAATCCAACAGTTGCTGTATCAAATAATTTATGTAAAACATATACAACAGCTCGGAAATGGAGAACAGTAACGAGATCAGGAATTCTTCGAGGTCGTGTGTCGAAAATGCTGCTCGAGACAACTGGAAACAAAGAGTGCCTTTTTTAATACCACGAGCATGTTCTATTTATCGGTTAACGAAACGAATTATAATAGTTACCCACGCGAAATAAATTAACGCTCAAGGATACGACGCCGAGTATAAAAAGAACAGAATAAGAGTATCTCTATTTTCCTAGTTTGACCTTGAGTTTCTTGTTCGAGTGCAATTTTCTCCCTTCTTTCGAACACGCCGGCCGACATACGTCACCTTCGTTACGTGGATATACATCGACTGCTAGAACCCTGAAACGTTTAACGCATGCGCAGAAAGGAATTCCGCGAGGGGAAATTCCCAGTGCGCATGACCAAAATTCCCACGATGTCCATCACTGTCTCTGACTCTCAGTCACTGGGATCGCACTGTCGGCGTCACGAATTGTCGCCGAAAATATTTACTCGAAGATAATTACCCTTTAATACTTTCACTGTGCGTTTATATAAACATTTGAAAAATGAGTTTTCTTGGTGATTATACACAATGTCCATTCGACAAATCGCATCGCATTATACGTAGTAGATTGCAAACACATTTAGTTAAATGTGCGAAGAATTATCCAGGTGTCAAGCTTGTGTGCATTTATGATGCTTCGCACAAAGTGGATCCACAGAATTACGAGGTGAATTTTTCATTGAAATTTTCATTTTTCCACATCTCGAAATGTTTCAGCTACTTTGCGCGCCGAGATTCTTTTTATTTCTATGTGTCTCTGCTCCTATTCTCCATTTCTTTTTCTCATCCTTTGTTCTCTCTTGGTTTCTTTTTTCTCAATTTCCGAAGGAATTTCTCTTTTTTCTATTCCGTTCATTTTTTCGACTCTTGTTTATGTTTAGAATCACCTTAAAGAGTGCGAAAGCAGTGGAAATATGAAATGTTATGAGTATTCGATGGAACCAGCAGTAACAGTTGGAACAATTCCCATAGAAAGTGCGTGCAATGTGGAAAGTACTACAATGAACGACGAGGACTGGTCCGGAGTGTGTAATCAGTTTTACAAATTTTAGATGTATCATTATTCTATGAATTTATTGCAAAAGCATTTTTAGACTATTATTCAAGGAATAACCTTTAATGAAAATAATTATATGTCTTAGGATAATCCTACGTACGATCCATGGGTTGCATCCGAAAAAAAAAATGTATTAAGGACGGGCGTGGGTCTGTCGAAGGGGCAAAGGAAGAAACATAAACAACTCGAACGAGAAAGAGTTGCTAAACTTGGTGACCACGACAACAGCAAACATAATATCAGTAGCGTCGAACAATCGGTAAGTATACATTATTTTTTGCACTCACATTTATGATATCTTTCACCAATATCATATTTATTTTCTCTTTAACAGGAATTAGAAACACCTTTAAGAGTTCCCAAGAAAGCTATTAAAGCATTATCGTGCGATTCAAATTCTTTGAACAATGTTACAAACAGGATCTGCTACAACGAGATAATTTCCAAATTGGAAAAGGTTTCCATGGAGGAAAGTATGGAAAATGCACGGTCGGAGAAAGAATCCGTAGAAAACATTTTTAACAATACCTTTAACGAGAAATCGAATCGTTCTGTGAATTTGAAAAATGTTTCTCTGTGCGAAGATAAAGAAGAAATGAATACTTCTGCGATTCGACAAACTACCTTCGAAGCAAAAATAAATACTTCGGAGTTAAAGAATGACAGTTCTTTAAAGATCTCTAAAGAGAACAAAGTTAAAAAGAATATATCTTATCAGAATTTAAATGAAAAAAAGACCACCTGTTTAAATCCTAGTATAGCGGCTACGTTTTATCAACAAGCAAAGAAAATTAGTACAGGGAGGGGATTTACTATTGCTTATCAAAAGGCAAGAGACAATCAGGAAGTCGTTAATACTTCAGAGAATTTCTATAGTATCTATGGCTATGACGAAGATAAAAGTGACGATAATGATACAGCGGTACAGAATAAGTAAAATTAAAGTTTCTATTATTATTAGATTATATTATCGGTGTATGCAAATGTAAATTTCTTTTTTCATACTATGACATGTATATATTATTAAGAATAAAGAACACTTTGATCTTAATAAAATTTATCTTAATACCAACGTGTAATAATAACTACAAAATGAATGGTATATTTTGATGGTTTTCTCTGTCGTTTGAATTGTCTGCGTTCATATAGGAGATTGTTTATTCGTTTAAAGGAAATACGCAACACAGAATACTCCACCTCTAATAGTAAGTATAGTTTAGAGAATTTTATATTAAATTACCAAAATTTATTTTATTTTAACAAACTAACCAAGAAGGAAAGGCTCGCATTCACCTTTTAATTTAAAAAAAAGAATTAATTGCTACTAATGAAACAAAATAATAATTAGCTTAAACGAATTTCTTTTTACCAAACAACGAATAGAAAATTTATTGTCTATAACAAGTATACTAATTGCAATTAATTTATAATTTTATTTTCTTCGCTCTCGATCACATACATCTGCAAATTCAAACAGTCAGTTTTAATAGTTTTTAGCGGAAGTAACTTCTGATTTGTCATTTCGAAGGCGTCTTCGTTAATGATCCATGGAAAATCATCGCAATGAGGATTTTCACTTAGAGCAACGTGAGCAGTTTCGTACGTTTGAATTTCAATAGAGAAAGTTGAATCCTCCGGCAATGGTTTCAGGTACGCTTCGCACATGGATAGTTTTAAACAAATTGTCCTTAGTCCTTCTTCAGTCTTTAAGTAATACGGATCTTTTCTATAAGAATTGTCCAAATAATAAAAATTTCCATCGCGCAATTAAGAAACTATTTAAAAAGCACGTACTCTCTGGTATCTGCTTGCAATTTAATTAGATCGAAAGCAAATTTTTCAATCGGTTGTTTGTTTTTGTTGTAGAAAATAAGGTTCACCAGTTTCACGTTATTTTCATTCTCCTTCACCAGTTCCCCGATAGCGTTCAAAATATTTTTTAAATACTCGTTGAGCTCTGGATGTTCGGAAACGTACACCGTTGTATCGTATAGTTTTCTCTTTGCAAAAATCTCTTTAGGATACAAATTCCTGAAGAACAATATATGATTGAACGCTACTTCCAGAAATTCTAACAGGATATCACTGCCAACTGTAAATAAATTTCATGAATTTCTAAATGTCTCAGTTTATTATTTGTACTTTTTTAAATGGCATTTACCTATTTCATCTTGAGACATTTTTTATTGTATTTATAATTAAAAAAATAAAAATGAAAACTATTTAAAAATATTCCCTTTTATAATTAATAATTTTTTTTAATAAATTATGTTTTAATAACAGTAATTGAAATATTTAATAACCGCAGATATATTTAAAATTCAATAATGTGCCTACAATAAAAAGTTGTTTAATTTTAGAATATATCGTACATCGTAAAATGGCGTTTTATTTTATTCGTTTATTCGCGGAAAAATCATTCGCATAAAATGTATTTTATGTTCGAAATTACGAAATTATGATTTTATTGGAATAAATTATTCTTAGAAGATGTATTGTATTATTTAGAGATTGATTTGACGCGCGCCTTGAAAGAAACCGATTGCATATGGCGATCAGTGTACAACAGACGTTTAGAGTGTTTTGATGATACTTTTCTATCAATACGTGGAAAGTATCAATAAGCACTGGTGTTAAGTGTGTTTGCAAACGTGATTACTTTTTTTTTACAAACTAGTTAATGTTATAGGGGAAGAACAGAATGTTGTAAAGGTTGTAGCGGCGTTTTTCATAACCTCGAAAACCAGCAACGAGCTATACTTTCGTGCAGGTATAAAATCAACGATTTTTCAGGCGTGGAAGATCGTTCTTGTATCAGATATTTGTTACCGATTCAGTATATCACCCACGTTTAGTCCTCTACCTTTGTTTTCAATTACAGAATTTTAGTAAAATCGATTCTATCGAGTGCCACTTTTGTTCCATTTTTACGTTGCTGGGTAGATCGCGATTTTCTCATGGCGCGAAATGTAACGAATCATGTACTCCATTGAATGTAAGATAGGCGTTGTGTACTTGTTTTAATGCTCGTTTTAATCACATGTAATTTTTAGTTACACGGTTTTTTCTTTTAGTTCTTTTCTGCAGAATCGTAAACGTTAAAATGTTGAAACCTGTTTTGACAAAAGCATCGAAATCTAGTAAAAAATGATTACTTTGTTAAAAGGTGTAAATTGATGTATTTTCCTCTCTTCGAATAAAATTGTTTCTAAAATTCATTGAATTCTTAAATTTCTAAATTAAAATTAGTTTTGTTGTTTCAGAATTTAAGATTTAGGTTAATATGTTTTAGATAAGAATGCCGCCAACAAAGAAGACTGATTTGGACAAATTAGCATGGGCTTGGGTAGAAAGTGTTTTACCAGAACGAATAGAAACTGTACATTTGGAAACTGCTTACAGAATAGGTTTAAAAACATGTAAAAATTGCAAGTAAGTTGTATGTTTGTCGAAAAGAAGTTTACGTTTTTTGTTTTTTAATACTTCAAAGTAACCATTTTGTTTTCAGACGCAATTGCACAAATAATCCGCAATGTCTAACAGGACTAGGGGAGGAAAAGTATCTGAAATCGCAACCTGTAGAAGTAATGTCTTTAGAAAGTTCTTTATCGGAATTACGAGATCCTACGGAGTATGTTGGGTTAAAGAATCTAGGTGCAACTTGTTATGTTAACAGTCTAATTCAAATGTGGTTTCACAATGAAGATATGAGGTATGTATTTGCAATTAGCGATATACGTTTAATGCATTTGCAATTCTGAAATGCGATTTGATGTTTCTAGGAGGATAATATACAAATGGAACATCACAGACGATCCGGAAGAACGGGAGGCTGTATGTCAAGCTAAGAAGGGAGGGCTACCATTTCATCCAGTGACGGCGGTTGGGCAGTTGCAATACATATTCGCAATGATGCAATTTGGGAATCGTCGTCTCCTTGATCCAATGAATCTTGCTGTTGCGTTGTCTTTGGATACTAGAACTCAACAGGACGCACAGGAATTCTCCAAGCTACTCCTCTGCCATATCGAAGGGAAACTGCAACAAACCGCAGAACTGAAGGAGATGCTGCAGACGCTGACTCAAGGGAAATACAGCTATATCAATTGGTGGGTTTTCTGAAGTGGAAAACAAATGAGAATTGTCCTAAACGATGATGATGCTGATGATCTTGACGATGAGAACATGGTAGGACACGTTGCTCGCTACGGTGACTGGTGCGATCAACTGATCTGACCGAGAGAGAAGCCAATTTTTCCTGAATAACTTGGATTTTATGTCTGACGCAGTTGTTCGAAATGCGGTACCGAATATCCGACATCCACTACATTCTACGAATTGGACCTGCAGCTTGCAGCTACCCTGAAGGAGGCTGTAGAGAAATACTTGTCCGTGGAACAACTAACCGGACCAAATCAATATCATTGCGTTACCTGCAATGACAAAAAGGATGCGCGTCGTTTTATACGCTTGGAATCCCTCCCAGAAACGTTAAACATACAATTGATGCGTTTCGTCTTTCATAGGTAGATATTTCTAATTCGATACTAAACACTTAAAATATTCATACCATGTGTCCGCGAGAAGAAGGCGCAGCGTGTTTACATTCCCACTCTTGTAGTCTGCTTGTCTGCAGATCACAGACAGTGATCGCTATTGGTCGAAGTCGGTGACAGGTCTGGGTTAGGTCTGGGTTAGGTCTGGATTAGATCTCAGTTAGATCTGGGTTAGGTCTGGATTAGGTCTGGGTTAGGTCTGGGTTAGGTCTGGGTTAGGTCTGGTTTACGTCTGGGTTAGGTCTGGATTAGATCCGAGTTAGATCTGGGTTAGGTCTGGTTTAGATCTGGGTTAGGTCTGGGTTAGGTCTGGGTTAGATCTGGGTTAGGTCTGGGTTAGGTCTGGATTAGATCCGAGTTAGATCTGGGTTAGGTCTGGTTTAGATCTGGGTTAGGTCTGGGTTAGGTCTGGGTTAGGTCTGGTTTACGTCTGGGTTAGGTCTGGATTGTTAACTAATCCAGACCTAACCCAGACCTAACCCAGATCTAACTCAGATCTAAACCAGACCTAACCCAGATCTAACTCGGACCTAATCCAGACCTAACCCAGATCTAACTCAAGTCTAAACCAGACCTAACCCAGATCTAACTCAGATCTAATCCAGACCTAACCCAGACCTAACCCAGACCTAACACAGACCTAACCCAGACCTAATCCAGATCTAAACCAGACCTAACCCAGATCTAACTCGGATCTAATCCAGACCTAACCCAGATCTAACTCGGATCTAATCCAGACCTAACCCAGATCTAACCCAGATCTAAACCAGACCTAACTCAGATCTAACTCAGATCTAATCCAGACCTAACCCAGACCTAACCCAGACCCTAGATCTGGGTTAGGTCTGGGTTATGTCTCGGTTAGGTCTGGTTTACGTCTGGTTTAGGTCTGTTTTAGGTCTGGGTTAGGTCTGAGTTACGTCTGGGTTAGGTCTGGGTTAGGTCTGGGTCAACGACGAGTACTTCCTGTTTAGATATTACCATTGATTCGATAAGTTTCTCGTAATCAGAAAATTAGTTTAATTTAACATCTTTGAAATTCATTTATAGCAAAGAGAATTAATTTGTATTTATCAAAAATAATATAAATCCGCTCGAACTCACTTCTTCCGCTGTCGTTTGAATCATGATTCCGATGGCTTCCTTGATTTAATATCAATGATTATTAAAGATACTAAATTAAACTAATTTTTCATTACGAGAAACTTATCGAGTCAATGGTAATATCCAAACAGGAAGTTCGTTGATAGCTAACGTTTCCATTGGAAGACAACGTTGCTATTTTCGTCACCGTGTTCGGCCAATAGCGATCCCTGGCTGTGATTCGTAGACTAATCAGTGGGCTGCAACAGGAGTGGGGATGTAAACACGCTGCGCCTTCTTCTCGTGGACACATGGTACCCTTCATATTACCAATATGTATTATTTTGTTTGACAGAGATTCTGGGCAGAAAAGAAAGCTGAATTCTTTTATACAGTTTCCAGAGGATCTTGATATGTCTGAATATGTAAGATGTCCGCCGCAATCACAGTTGTACAGTCTTGTCGCGGTTCTGAGTCATAAAGGTTCATCCGCGCATTCGGGCCATTACATCGCCAATATATGTAATTCGAATGGAGAGTGGTATCAATTTAGCGATGATAAAGTCGAGAAAATGCAGAACAAAAGAATCGAAGACGGTGTTAACGGTGAGCACAAATATTACCGCGACATATTTAAAGAAATCTATGATGTAATTATCGGAAGTTATTGCATAGTTTTTGTTCTTATAGAAACTACGAAGATCGTTAGGCGAGGGCGTATACCAAAAGGTTGTCTTTCCTCAAATACCGCGTACATGTTAGTGTATAAAAAAGTTACGGTCGAATGGCGGATGAGCAACTGGAAGAAAGCAAAATCGAAGAAGGGGGAAATAGAAACAAACAATCATAACACGGAACATAACATGTTTATCGATAAAGAGAAACCGGACTCGTCGGACGAAGGACAGCGTAAAAACGGACCAGATTCTACGGTGTCCGATTCGAGTGGCCCCGATGAAGTAGTGGAGCTGGACACAGAAAATAAAATGGACGCCGAAACCGAAGCGTTGTCTTCTCAAGACATTACTGTACAGGAAAAGATAACGTCTATGATGCTGGATTCCAATATCGACGAACACAATGGTAAACACTACGAGTCTGATAACAAAGAGGATCAACACGATGCACAAATTAAGAAACCGTTCGCAAATAACACAAAACTAGATTACAAACAGTTGAATGGCGCTGCGCATAGAGCTATGAGCTGCGGGGAACGTGATTTTTACGAGGAAGTAAGTTCTTTTTCTTGCTTTTGTTACATATTTATCGCATTTGAGAGGATACACTTTTAACATTTTGCAGATGGAGTTCGAGAGTTGGGAGGTCAGTCCAACGCTTCGCGATTTAGTGAGGCAAGAAAACGTGAAGCACGAGTTAAGTTTATTGGCCATTCAGCAAGAGAAAGTACGTATTAACAAATGGGGATTGAATCCAAGGAAGTATAGAAGTATGCATTAATTAAAAATTTTGTTTCAGCAAAAGGAGATCGAAGATCAGAACTTGAAGAGGCAGCTCATTATAGATGTGTATAATATTGTTTCCAACGCGGTCACGTGGGAGAAATATCAGTGGATTCCAACCGATTGGTTGTCGAAATGTCTTACTGGTCATTCATGCTCCGACGGAGTGCCACCGATCGACAATTCCAGCCTAATGTGCTCGCATTATCGACTCGATCCCCTAAAGGTGAACCGTGCCAAGTGTCTACCTGTACTAGCCGCGGAAATGATCTACGCGAAATATCGCGGGGGGCCACGATTGAATCAGAACTCTCTCTGTGAAATTTGCGTGAAACGTCGATACAAATTGCTACGTTTCAAACTGTCGCTCGAACGCGATCACAAGGAGGTGAACGAGCTTGTGCGGAATTTCAAAGATCCGTGAGTCCCCCTTCAAACTGTTTGTAATTTAATCAAATGTAGTCGGTCGAAGAATATTCATTTTTATATTCTTAGAACTGAGACGAGTTACATCGTGGGCGCCGACTCCTTGAAGTCCTGGCGGAGACTCGCGATGGAGAAGTTCACGGAGGATTTGGAACACGAAATAGAAGAAGAGGACTGTCAAGGGCCGAACGGTCCTCGAATCGATACCAAACCGGCGAGCAAAGAAAGCGAGGGATCGAAGGATGTCGAGGAAAGCGAAAAGAACGAAGTCATAATCTACTTCAACGAGGATCTGCTTTGTGAGCACAATTCGCTGAAGACGCCCGACTCTTCGAGAAAAGTTGTGCCCTGCGAAGCCTGGATCATTCTACGGAAATATTTCCCGGAGTCTAAGGAATATCTGATCGGTTCTGCGTCCTGTTCAATTTGCGAAGTAAGTTTCATTTAAATTCTATAGATTAATATTCTTGCAAAGTTATATACAGTGTGTCTCACGAGCTCTGTAAATATCTTGATTGTTAACCTTTTGACTGCGGCGCGTTCTAGAAAGAATCCATCAACGTAGATGGCGCGATCGTCGCATGGCGCTGCGACTGGCGGCGAAAAAAAGTACTCGACGATTTAAGAGACCATTCTAACATTCTAAATGCGAATAAATTAAAATATTTTCGTATATATTGATGGACTAGTGAGAGTGTATATACACGTCTTTAGCAGTCAAAGGGTTAAAATAAGTACCTACACTATGGTATAAATGGTATTCTTGTTTTCATTCCACAGAATGGGTCCCCAATAGATGCGACAGAATTTCTGTGGTATTTATGAGTGTTTTGTTCCGCAGGAAAAGATGGAGAACGCGCAAAGAGCGAAGAAAGATGTAAAGATAAAAGCGAAACAGCAAAAGGACGAGCTGAACGAGTTGTACCATGGCAGAAACAGAAACGAGATACTGAAATGCGAGGATCCGGAGAAGAAGTTCTACATCGTGGAGAAGAGCTTCCTGGACAGTTGGCGTTCCTTCGTTCGGTGAGTGACTTCTGTTAACGTATTTATACAGGATGCCTCAGAATTTAAGGATGAAATATAATGGTTCTTTACCATTGTGCCACGTACGAATTAATTTTATTATTGGCGTGAAGGCACTCTGATCGACAATTAATATTGCAAGAAAGGAAAGGCCTATTTAATTTGTGGAGCTGCTTTTTTTCGGCCATTGATGGGGAAAATTTTAATAGGAGATTCTGGAGGCCAAAATAAGAGGAAAATCAAGAATATCAATTTCTTGACTGAGGCCTCGTTAAAAAGTTATTAAAAAATAAAATTCAAAAATTTCAAATCATTCTGAAAAAATTATATTTAGTTAGAGGAGTCAATTACAAGTATTTTTAGTGAATAGACATACCCCCGAAATCCTAATCATTTTCGAGAAAAAAAATTCAGAAAGTGCCTAAATCTTTCGGCGAAAAAAAAAATTTCAAATCATTGTGGAAAAATTATTTTCCATTGCAGTGGTGAATTACAATCATTTTTAGTGAATAGACATACCCCCGAAATCCTAACCACTTTCGAGAAAAAAATTCGAGAAAGTATGAAATTTTTCGACAAAATTGAAAAATTTCAAATCGTTCTGAAAAAATTATGTTCGGTTGCGGGGGTCAATTACAATCATTTTCGGTGAATAGACATACCCCCGAAATCCTACTCACTTTCGAGAAAAAAATTCGAGTAAATTATGAAATTTTTAGGGGAAATTAAACAATTTCGAATCATACTAAAAAAATTATATTTAGTTACAGGGGTCAATTACAAGCATTTTTGGTGAATACACATACCCCCGAAATCCTACGCACTTTCGAGAAAATAATTCTTTACCGAAAACCTAATGTGAGGCTTCCTTGAAATTTCATGCGAATCTTTAAAATGTCATAACTCCTGAACGGATTGGAGGATTTTAATTTTTCAAAATGCAAACAACGCGTATTTTAGTGGAGAATACATACAAATTCTAACAATATTGAAAAAGTTGGTCCTTGACAATGTAAATTGAGAAAAACCCCCTAAAACTGAACCAATTTTCAAACGGTCATAACTCCTACAATAATCGAGATATCTTATTGAAATTTATTTCTAAAGCAGAGTGCATGGGTACCTACAAAAAAGTGTTACACAACTTTTCTGTACAGCGTCAAACAAATTTTTAAGAAAAATCGACAGTGGGTAGATGCCTAAATTTTTACGACGAAAAAAAAGAATTTCAAATCGCTCTGAAAAAATTATTTCTAGCTAAGGGGGTCAATTACAATTATTTTTGGTCAATAGACATACCCCCGAAATCCTATCCAGTTTCTAGAAAAAAATTCGAGAAGGTATGAAATTTTTCGACAAAATTAAAAAATTTCGAATCGTTCTGGAAAAATTATTTTCGGGTGCAGGGATCATTTGTAATTATTTTTGGTCAATAGACATACCCCCGAAATCCTATCCAGTTTCTAGAAAAAAATTCGAGTAGGTATGAAATTTTTCGATAAAATTAAAAAATTTCGAATCGTTCTGGAAAAATTATTTTCGGGTGCAGGGGTCATTTGTAATTATTTTTGGTCAATAGACATACCCCCGAAATCCTATCCAGTTTCTAGAAAAAAATTCAAGAAGGTATGAAATTTTTCGACGGAAAAAAAAAATTTCAAATCGTTCTGAAAAAATTGTATTCGGTTATGGGGGGCAGTTGCAATAATTTTTGGCCAATAGACATACCCTCGAAATCCTAACCATTTTCTAGAAAAAAATTCGGGAAGGTGTGAAATTTTTTGACGAAATTAAAAAATTTCAAATCGTTCTGAAAAAATTATATTCGGTTAGGGGGGTCTGTTGCAATAATTTTTGGTCATTAGACCTACCCTCGAAATCCTACCCATTTTCGAGAAAAAAATTCGAGTAGGTGGTCAAATTGCCGTTCAACAGCCACAACTTTAAACGTTAATAACTTTTTAAGGAAGCTTCCATTAACAAATTAGTATTCTTTATTTTCGACTTATTTTGGCCTCTAGAATCTTCTATTAAAATTTTCGTGGTGAATTTCAAAATCAAGGGACAAGAAAATGGGCCCAAATTACCTTTTGAAACTAATTAAGTATGGTAAATGGCTTAATGGCTTTCCTATTGTCAAAAAAGTTACATTCTCCAGATGACAAAATTAACTAATTTAAATAATATTGAACATGTCCTATAATATAAAATTTTTGAAATTCCAAAAAAAAGTGCAAATATCTATGTGCAAGATAGTAACGTATCATCATACTTTCGAAACAAACGATCATCGAGATTTCATCGCAAGGGATTAATCTCATCCAAGATTCCGTCGATCCAGCTAATTTTAGCGAAAAGTTCAACGATTTTTACACGAACCTGGTAATTTTTACGTACCCTCGCGCCGTCTCAAAAGGCAACGTACCAAACGAGGCAGAAAAAGCGATAAATCATTCCGGCCAGTGAGAAAGCGTCCTCGATCTTCGTTCGAGCGCGCAATTAAGCAACCGAAGACGCGGAGTCCAGGCCTCGGGGATGAACCAGGGATGTCCCAGGGACCAGTGCCGGAAAAGCGGTCCGCGAAGGGCGGCGGGGGGATGGAAAAGGGCGAAATTGCGCCCGCGATGAGCGTCGAATAAGGCGAAACGGTATTAAGACGGCGGGGCTGGTTTCCTCGAGGCTGATGTATCATTTGCCGGCGGGTCGTTAGGCGGTTTCAATTAGTTTTCCGTTCTGGTCCCGGGCTCGGCATCCACACGAGGTTTTGGGGGAGAGCCCCACCGCAGCCCTTAATCGCGCGGTTCAGTTTTTTCTTATAATTAGGAAAAGCTCGTTAATGCGACCCTACTGTCCCTCCATCTCTCTTCACCTCGTTGGACTTCTCCAGCATACTAGCGTTGTGTTGTCACAGGAAACCGCTCGTGGTATATCACGAGACGGAATCCGTTAACGGTTCAGCGTTGCACACGTCGTGCAATCGCCCTTTTCGGTTAGGGCGATCGTCGATTGTTAAATCGAGCCGTTCTCAACACATTACCGACCGATAGCCTATTAATCGACTGTTTTACCGACCAACGCTTACCGACCGATAGCGTATTAATCAACTGTTTTACCGACCAACGCTTACCGACTGATAGCCGATAAAACAGTTGATTAATAGGCTATCGGTCGGTAAGCGTTGGCCGGTAAAACAGTCGATTAATAGGCTATCGGTCGGTAAAGTGTTAAGACGAGCACCGTCATCAGATCGTCGCGAGTTCGCGTCCAGCCACAACGTAACAGATCATTATGTGTTTCACCTTATATAAATAAGTCTTCTGCTCGTTATCGTTATCTGTGCCTGTACTTTCGACCACAGTGCATCTCCTATTGCTATCCCATTAACAATACGTTGTAGTGTACTTGTACAAGTTGCTGGTGCTTCTGCATTTCGACATTTTGATTTTTCCCATTCACCGTTGGGACAAGTTTGATCATCGATGGTCGGTGTTTCATTATTGGTGCATCATTGGCGGGAATTAGGATGGTTAATATTTTGACATGTGTATTTGCTACACATTCATTTGTTTCCTTTCCGAAATAAAGAAATGCGGGATTATTTGATATTGTTTTGTCGAATCGACAAGATTTAATATGTCGAGTAATGTCGTCAGTTAATGACAAGTAGCATGCTGCAGGTCGCATAGCGTTGCCTCAGTGGAATCATACCTTAACACATTACCGACCGATATTAATCGACTTTTTTACCGACCAACGCTTACCGACTGATAGCGTATTAATCAACTGTTTTACCGACCAACGCTTACCGACCGATAGCCGATTTATCAACCGTTATCGGTCGGTAAAGTGTTAAGAATGTTAACACATTTGACTATTAACGTAGATTACACTTTTCCTCAGAGTTTTGTAACTTTCATCCAAGTATCACGTTGTGAATTAATTAACGTAACGTTTTCATTGAGATTGAAGTTTTGTCGCGTTCTTACCTTTACCTTTACCGTTAGCTGTTGACAATTCCAGGAGGAACACAGATGCCTATAAATTTTCACGAAAACCCTACAGAAACCCGATAATTACCGTCGCGGGTGGAAAAAGGGGTCTGAAAAATTAATCACCGCGCGAGACACGAACGAAGACAATGCCACCGGGCCGGAAAAATATTTTCCACCTTTTCCCTTCCTCGGTTATGGTCGATGTTTCTACAATGAAACTGTAACAACATTTTAAGGGGATCCGGGGAGTCGTTGTGGTGGGAGGAATGAAAGAACGTCGCGAAAACGTGTGTGCCTTGCTGGTCCAAGCGATGAATGCCGAGGAATGCGCCGATTGGAATTCGCGAACGTTCTTTGAATTCTTGCTAATTTTTTCTGCCCGTACCCGGTTAAAACAGTGTGGAATCGATGAGATCCAGATGTTCGATCTATATAGTTGTTCACTTCTGAATCAAATTCGTTCGACTTAAATTCGATTAACTTCGTTTGTTTGAAATTGTTTTTAATTTCTTTGCTAAAAGTGAGTTATCTCATTATCTGATTATATAAGGACATTTTATGAATTTTTTAGTTCCAGACGATGTCAAAATTGGTCATCTTTTTAACATTCTTCTTTCTCCTAAGTTGTCTCTTGTGCCTGTAATTCCATTTAAATTCCATCTCGAAGTGTATAATTGTAAACAAACTATTTATTTCTGTTAAAAAAGAATTTTTATTTTTATATTTTATAAATTCTATTGGATTTAAAATTTTGATTCTCAATTATATATTTTTATCGGGATTTATCAGGTGAAAACTATATTTTATACAAAATTCTGTAGCTTATGTTTTCAATTGTTAGTTTAAAATTACAAAACTTTTTCGGTTATAACTTCTACGATAGTGAAGGTATCTCATTGAAATTTTTTTCTGAAGCGGAGCCCATGGGTACCTACAAAAATGTATTAGACAACTTTTCTGTAGAGCGTTAAACAAATTTTTAAGAAAAATCGATAGGTGTCATTTTTC